TCTTTGAATTAGTAATTGGAATTTCTTTTTCTAAAACACAGTACTCTAAAAATGCCCATTCCCAGAGACCCCATCAACCTGTCCCATGGTAGAGGCAGGGAGGGAAGGAGTGAGGAGTCCTTTGAGGTAGCTCAATCTTCATTCTTACTATAGGGACCTTGGAGCCCCTCAGACACACAGATAAAGGTGGCTAGAGATACCTGAGTGGCCTGAACTTAGGGCTCTGGGGACCTGAGCTGGGAGTATGAGGATGGGGTTAGAGCTGGGAAGCTGGAAAGGAGTCACAGATCTAAGGACTGGCATCTGCTGGGGACCCAGAGCAGCGATCCCTTGGGAACAGAGGCATAGAGAGAGAGAGAAGGAAGGCGAGTGAGCCAGCTGCTTTCTGGTGGTAGGTCTAAAGTCCCGATTTCACCTGTCCTCCTCCCTGAGATGAGGCAAGGACAGAGCTAAAAACAACGGTATGGGTATTACCTCTCTGAGGGGGCAGTGATGCCTGCGACTTCCTGCCCACCTGTCCTGTGCACTGTAGCTTCAACAAACCTGCTGCCTCTAACAGTGGAAACAGGCCAGGGTTTAGATGGTCCCTCATACACACAGGCTGACACCGGCTGACAAGCTGTCGAGGACCATGTGGGAGGAACAAGTCATGGAATTACAAACTCATGGAAATCAGCCCACTGACGAGCACAACCACAATGGCTCTCTTCTCCGGCTTCCTCGTACTCCTCACCTGCGACCCCCAGCCTGGTAACTCAAACTCCATATTTTTCCTGCTCTTCCCAGTAACTGGTTGTAGCCATTTTTATTTAACCAAATTTAAAAACTTTTAAATGATTCAATTTTTAATGTGCATTGGTATTTTGCTCGCTTGTATGTCTGTGTGAGGGTGCTAGATTCTCCTGGAACTGGAGTAACAGTCATGAGCTAATGGGTGAGTGCTGGGAATTGAACCCAGGTCCTCTGGAAAAGCAGCCAGTGCTCTTAATCTCTGAGCCATCTACCCAGCCCCTAACCAATGGTTTTTAATTGGGGAGTAAGGTTTGCACAACAAAGGCTGGTATGTGTGGGAATTTGCTCACCTTTGATGCAACCAGATCTTGGGGTACAGGATATAGCACATGAATACAAGCAGCACCAGACCAAACCCCATCATTTTCCCCTTTTTGTCTAAATAAAAAGGCTCTTTCTCATAATAATAAACAACAAACAATTGGAACAAATGTGAAACAATTATAAAAGCTTGTTAGGTAGGAGTTACATCCACAACGTCCAGTTCATTTATATTTGGAAACTTTAGAGAGAGTATTCTATCGTCTATTCTATATTGGTGAGTTCGGAGTTTTATATCTAAATCATTTTCTGTCATAACTTATATTATAATCCAAAAAATCTTTTTATGTCCTAAAACAACTTAAGCGTAATTGTAAGAGTATAACTATCTCGTCTTCAACTCCATCAGAGACCAGGAAAGGATAAATGTTACTGTGTGTTCCGAGGGCTTCCTGCTGTTACAGAGCTCTGCTCTGCTTGCTGCCCTCACAGCCCTCTCAATCTAAGAGTTATATGAAAATTCAAAGGGGCTTCCAGTCCTTCACTGGACAGTATCTCTGGCACTCACAATAATAGTGCTTGATCTCTTTCAGACATTGCTGCTGGAGCAGATTATGACTCTATCACCAACCTAGAGAAGAACTTAGAGATGTAGTTTGTCAGCAGTGACCACCACCCTTAGCATTTGGAAAAATAAAGTTGCTAGTGAACTTAGCTTGAGATGTTTTTGCTTCTGGCTCTGATGTAGAAAATCTTAGGAAACAATTTGAAGTTCATAAAAACACACACTTAATATTTGAGTGGGGACTTTTTGAGGTCAGGGAACAAGAACAATCTAGATAGATTGGCTGACATGACTCACTGAGGCTGGACTGGTGATGATTAATTTCTTGTGTCCATTTTTGCCCTCAGCTTCCTGATATGATTTAATAAAATTTGCCGATGAGTAGATGTGCATTCTGAGGATTTCAAGTAGATTCGACTGATAGATTTTTATATAAAAGTTGAGATTCTTTTAAATAATTATAGGATTGAATAATAAAATAATTGATCTTTTCTTTGTAATTACAAATTGCTGCCTGCTGGTAAGACAAACTGGTTGAGAAAATTACTTTGCTTGTTCACACTTTGTTAATCTATTAACAAGTTCCTTAGTTACCGATGTATGTGGGTTCTTAGGAATATATATATATTTTTTACCTGTAATATGTAAAATGTTTTTTTTCATGTAAAGTTATTGGGGAAACCTACTGTTCTGTTTCGTTTTTATAATCATTCGCTAAAAGAAAAATAGAAAGTAATCACATTATAATTTCTATACTGCTTGAGGGTTATGCTGGGATATATAAGTCAAAGTAGAAACTTTTTCACTAGCCTCTTTTGTCGGACCCCCAGGGAGCATCTTCATCCCCTGTCTCCGTTTACCCTGAATGTCAGAGCTGATCTTTGACAACAGTCAGAGAAAGTATATATTGGGTCACCCAGTCTGAGTGGTTGACCCTTTTATTTGGATTTGTTGTTGGGAGGCCAGCCGCTGCAGGTGGCCTTCAATGTGGAGCAGTATGGCATCCAGCATGTGAAGGACCCTGAGGACCAGGGTGCGGTCTGAGACAGTAGGCTGTCGTTTCCAGTGTTTGCAGGAGCTGGAGGTCACCGGTGGGAGCTGAAATATAGGACCAGCATGAGAGTGGAGGAGGGCCAGGGGGTGCAGCAATAGAGAGAAGGGATAGGGGGTAGTGCCAAAGAGGATGGGGAGATGGGAATGGGTCACTGGATCTCCAGAGGCTGGGTGTCCAGGGGCCCATGGTAGCTGGGTGAAGAATGGGAATATTCAGTGGGGACAGAGGGACCGGAGTGCTGGCCCTGAGGAATGATACAGATGGACTGGCTGTAGACATAGGTTCCATGGAGATGCAAGAACAGGGGACAGGGATGAGGACAAGGTCAGGCAAGAAGCCCACAGGCCCTAAGACAGGGTGATAGGAGGAAGGCTGAATGGAAGGCCTGGGCCCAGGGGGCACAAGCAGAAGCAGGAACTGTAGAGGACAGAGCAGAGCTGTGCTCACCTGCTCCTTGGTAACCTTAGCTTGCCACCGGTGCAATATCACACGACTGATAACCAGCAACATGGTAGTGGTGATCGTGACCCCAGCCACGGGGTAGATACGACTTCCTCCCAGACCCATCCAGTAGCCAGGGCAGCCCAGGCTGCTCCTGCAGCTATCCAGGCTGTTTGGCTGGCAGCCCCAGGGCTGCAAATCCAACCCTACTTGATACCAGAGAGGCCTCGACCAGCCATGGCTAGGGACAGGCATCATCAGCAGAAACAGCGATGGCACTAAGAACAACGAGTACAGCATGACTGTGGCTGCTGCGAGGAGCCGGAATCTGGGTACCTTGGCAACGGGCAAACACCCCTCCCCCAAGAGCAGGTCCAGCTCTGAGGCAGCAGGTTCCAGCTGGGCTCATAACCTTTCAAGACACAGGTTGGCCAGATGATGGGTAGTGGGGAATGGATTCCAGCTCACCTATCATCCTCCCTAATCTAAGTGCTCCACTCCCATGTTCTCTACTGGGCTAGCAACTGCCAAGCTGGTAAAACAGAGTGTGGGGGAGCTTCCGATACCCAGTTCAGCTCCACTCACTCAGCTCCACTCAGTACTGTGCACACAGCAAGCACTTGAAAGTGTGGCTTCCTTGAAGGTTTCTACTGGCTGCTGTCCCTGCCTCAGCCAGGCCTCCCTCACCACCCTTCCTTGTGTTGGGAGCCCTCCTAGAAAATCACCTTTTTAAGATGATTAAGCCTCGTGTACTGGCGTACCCCTCCACGACTGCCTTGGTGGTAGAGTCCGGTTTCTCTAGCATGACCTTACGATATTTTCTTTAGAGCACTTCTGCCTACCTACATACTCATCTTTATTCTCAAACTATAAAAACACGCCAGCTTCCTCCTAGCACCCATCCAAGGCCAGCCTGACAAGTTCTTGTTTGAGGTCTGCCTCTGGCTCCAAGTCTTCATTCAAACAATGTTTACTGAGCACCCAGACCCGGTGCCAGAAAGGAGCGTGACAGAATAGATGAACAAAAAGCTCTGCCTTCCTCGGCTGAGTTTTGGCGGGAGCACAGGTGACTTGTAAACACTTTGGTGCCAGGCACGGGTAAAAGTCATGATAAATAGGCCCAGGCAAGGGTGCCTGGGTGATTTGGAGGGCAGGGAGCCTCTGTCTACAGTTGGGAACTTGCCCGGTACCTAGCACCGAGCCTGGTGCCTGGAGTGTACCTGATGAATAGTGAAATTCATGAGTTCTGGGCAGGAGGTGTGGGTATTGCATTCTCTAGCCACTTCCATGTGTAACTCACCGGGCAATTCATGAGGCTGCTACTCCTTTTATGCTCAGGAACCCACTGCCCTATCCCTCCCATCACCGGGTCATCGGCCCACAGGACCAACACATGCTCTGTTGTTTATGCCCGAAGTCAGCCGCTTCTTGACTGACGATTCCCGTGCTCTAACATTATGAGTAGGCGGTTCGTAACACTGACTTTTAAATCCAGCAGCAGACCATGTTAATGGCTCTGTTCTTTAGCTGGGGGCTCAGGGGTTCACTCTACATCCCTCAGAAACACCAATTCTGTCTTGTCTCTTAATCAGTTTATCCCTGAGAATGGCTCTGTCCTGACCTACAGTCTGGATTCCATTTATTTTTCCAGCTAGAGCTAAAGGGCTGTCTGCGTGAAACCAAAGAGGACCTTGTGCTTGTAAAACCCTAACACAGTCTGGGGTCCACTGATCACCGACTCGGCATGCTCTCTGCCTGTCCCTGACCTCCCCAAATTTTACACCCCAGTTCTGACTCCCTTAGGGTTTATAAGAAGGATTGAGAGTCTATGCTGAGGACCACTCGACACCTCAGCCACACCCCATCATGGCACAGAAGAGCCTGAAGTTGGACGGACACATTTATTCCCAAAGCTGTAAACCCACATGAGCTCCTTTCCAGCACCCAGCCAAGCCCAGCCTGACTGCAATACCCTGCTCCAGGCCTGTAGCACTGAACTTGGAGTCCAAGGGCATCCATCCATGAGTCGTATGTACAGGTACATGGAACGGAGTCCCAGGTGGCACCTGGAAGTGGCCCAGAGGCAGGGGGTTCATGAGGGTGACCTGTCACAACCTCCAGAGGTAGGCAGTCTCCTGCAGCAAAGTCAGAGTTTGGTGGCCTGTGTGGGTAGGAGAGGAAGTTCCCGTTAGTTTCTGGAAGACATATATGAACTCCTAAATCTCCCCATTCAAACAATGTTCTTACAGGCAGGAGGGGAAGGAGCAATGGGTTCAGTGTGGCCAGAGCCCGGAGCAATGTCGTCAACCTCCTGGGGTTGGGGTCAGGGTGGGGATAAGCAACAGATTAACAAAAAGTGCTCAGTGTGGCAGAGGCAGCTTACCAAAACAGGGCTCTTAGGGCCAGACTTCCGGTGGTGGAGGGCAAAGGTCACAGCGTCATGGACAGAGGCAAAGACATGCTGCTTAGTGATAGATTCATCAAAGAAGTTTCCAGCCTCAAGCTGGGTGACCACAGGACCTGTGGACAAGGAGCAGGTTCTGACATGCAGTACCATCAGGAGACTGGGTCCCCAGGCACCCCTAGAATTCTTTGCTACTTACTGAAACCCAGTCATTCCAGTATGCAGTATGCCTCTTGTGAGTGCATGCATACGTGTGTGTGTGTGTTGTGTACGTGTGGTGTGTGTGTGTATGTATGTGGGTGTGGGGGGGAAGTGTGCAGTGTGTGTGTTACTTGTACCCAGAAGACAGAAGAGGATATCAGAACATCTCAACCTTATTCCCTTAAGACAAAGTTTCTAACTAACCCGGAAGCTTTATTGGCTGACCAAGTAGCTCTACTCAACAAAGGCTAGCACTATAGGTATGCATAGATATGTCTGGCTTATTTTCACATGGGAGCTGGGGATTTGAACTCAGGTCCTCATACATGGGCAGCAATCCTCCTCCATTGAGCCATCTCCCTAGCCCTACTTCTTGACTCACGTCTCCCGAGACATCCCTGACCTCCTGTTTCAGAAAGATTTGTTTTCCTTATGCTGTTTGATAAACCCTTAACCAGAAGCGCCCCACCCTCTGCCCGGATTGTTACTGCTGTCCCCGTTCAACGTACTGTAACAGGCTGCAATGTACACTTCCACTTCAATCTCCCGGAAGTCACGGAAAATCTGCAGCAACAAAGAAGGCTGGCCTTAGAGGGGCAGCAGTTGGGCGAGGTTTGGTGGGGAGCTCAGAGGGCTTGGTTTGTTGGGAGTGGGGTGGGCAGAAGATGAGAGGCAAGTGGCAGGATCAGCATGGAGGCCCCGGGGAGCCCAGCCTGCCCACAGCCCTTACATTCTTCAGGCTCTTAATGCACACAGTGTCCACAAAGGAGAGGGTACTCAAGTCCAGGATGAGGCTATGAAAGCCTGGCTGAGGCAGGCCCAGGGACTTCAGTGAGGTCATGGCTGGGGCCCTGGCATCTTCTTGATTGCTGGCGACTACATCCTCCAGCTCCTCCCCTCGGTGCACCTGCAGGGGATCCAGATGTGCTAAAGGCACATACATAGTATACCGCCAGACACAGAGCCAGACAGAAATGTGCATGTTAATATGCAGACAGATGTATGGAGGCATGGGACACATAAGGACACAGACATGGGGCGACAGGAGGGACATGTAGGGACACAGGAAAGCATACCCCAACACGCACAAACTGTCGTTACTTCCTGGACCAAAACTTAATAAAGGCACAAGAAGGGAGGATATTGGGAGATCATGTCTCATCCTTAGCCAAGCAGGGTAGAGTGGCTAGGGGCCAGCGAGGATGGCTGTCTTCTATCCTGACCTGTCTGAACCTTTGGTTAAACTTGGCATACCTCTTGACCCCTAGAATTGCCCAATGTTCTCAAGCCCTTTCCTCTATCCATGAGCATAGACTGTGGGGTCTTGTTAGGTCTAGGTCAGTCTGAGACTACAGACCAGGGCCAGAGGAGAACTCAGTGTCATGAAGGTCCCCCTGCAGAATCAACGCTATCCCCACTCCTCCCACCCAACATTAGCCCAACACCTTCAAACCCACACTAGCAGGTCTTGGCTTTCCTCATGCAACAAACGTGGGCACCCACATCTCTGTGGCTACCAGCTGGTCCCCACTCCCAGTCCTAGCCTCACCTTGGCCTCAGAGCCCTCAGCGTCATTGCTTTTGACATCTTCAAAGCTGGTGTTGACGTTGACAGAAACTGAGGAGATCTTGGAAGAAGCAGCCTAGGAGGGACGAGGGACGGTGAGAAAGCGATCCCAGTTGCCATATGACAACCATGGCAGGCAGGCCTGGTACTGTCCCTGGCTTTGGGCAAGGAGACACATCAGGACCTAGGCTGCAGGCTGAAGAAGTTCTAACAATGAAAGGGACACGCCATGCTTCCTGCTGGCACTAATACAGGAGAGGAAGACGACATCTCTAGAGCTTGCCCTGTCCTTCCATGGGCTGAAACTGGGTCCCTGGGGTGCTGAAGGACAGAGAGTGGTGATAAGAAATGACAGGGGTAAGAAAATTGGACAAGGACAAAGGATGAGGGGATAGCTGGGGCCAGGGCTGGGAGCACAGCAGGGCTGGGAGCACAGCAGGGCTGGGAGAACAGCAGGGCTGGGAGCACAGCAGGGCTGGGAGCACAGCAGGGCTAGGGGCCAGGGCTGGGAGCACAGCAGGGCTGGGAGCAGAGCAGGGCTGGGGCCAGGGCTGAGAGCACAGCAGAACTGGGAGGAGAGCAGGGCTGAGGGCCAGAGCTGAGAGCACAGCAGGGCTGGGAGCACAGCAGAGCTGGGCCAGGAGGGAGCAGCTGAGGGGATCCCACCTGTTTCTGGGACTTCTTGGCTTTCTTCATTCGCTTTATCTTCATCTCCTGCTTTTTGATTCGTTTCTTCTTCTGGGTGATAAGGTGGTCAACATCCACACCGCACTGGAGACACAGGTCAGGGGTGGAGCTGGTACTCTGGGCAGGTGAGGAGATTAGCCCCTCCCACATCGAGACAAAGCATGGGGACCCAGGCCTTACCTTCTCTTTCAGTGAGTCACTGTAGAGCTCAGCGTTGGCAAAGTACATGGTGGCTGAGGAGCGGAAGACTTTCACACCGGGGACCTCCTTGGCCTGGAGACGAGGAAGAGTTGGAGTAGCTGAGCTTTCCCTGCTTCCTGCTGTATCCTGTTTACTCAGCTTTCCTCTCTTAGAGAGCATGCTACCCAGCCTCCACCCCAGCCTGTGGCCAATACCCTTCCAGGATCCCGGGCCATAGCTTAGCTGCGTGTCACTCCTGCTCCGAGTGTTACTGTCCTTCATGACTTCCTATCTCTCACCAAGTTTCACAGTTTGGCTCAGACGTATCCCAGGCCATGTCCCCACCCCCACCTCAGTTCCTGAGTCTTCTATCCCAGCCCTACGCTGCTTTCTGCACACAGACGGAGGAATGTCTCTAAGTTCACTCACACCTACCCCAGCTCTTGTCCCTTCCTAGCCACAGCCCAGGGCTCTCCTAGGCATTTGGGACTGTAGCACATGGGCCACCTTCTAGTTACACGCAGCTGGGCGGCTCCCTCATGTCTTCTCCCACACCTAGACTCCTCTACTCTTTGTTCTATTCATGATCCTGCAGTCAACCTTCAAGGCTCTGGGCCACAGTGAAAGCTTAGTTTATTCCAGACCCTCACGCGACCACTGTTCCCACATGACGTGAGTCTTTGCTTCAAATTCTGAGATCCAAAGGCAAAGTGCTTCTAGTTTCATGTATTCTCTCTCCACTTGCAGAGTAGTGTGTATGTGTGTATATGAGTGTATATGTGTGTGTGTATGTGTGTGTGTGTATGTATATATGTGTGTGTGTATATGTGTGTGTGTATGTATATATGTGTGTGTGTGTGTGTATGTATATATGTGTGTGTGTATATGTGTGTGTGTATGTATATATGTGTATGTGTGTGTGTATGTATATATGTGTGTATGCATGCGTGTGTATGTGTATGTATGTGTATGTGTGTGTATGTATATATGTGTATGTGTGTATATGTGTGTGCATGCATGTGTGTGTATGTGTGTGTATGTATATATGTGTGTGTATATGTGTGCGAGTGTATGTGTATGAGTATGTGTGTATGTGTGTGTGGGAGTGTGTGTGTGGACACATCTGTGTGTGTAGGTGTGGACCTTACATGTGGAGGTCAGTAGGTGACATTGGGTGTCTTCCTCCGTGACTCTCCTGCTTTGGGCTACACTAGCTGCCCAGCGGGCCCCAGAGATCTTCTTGTCATTGCCCTCGAGCACTGGCTTACAGACATGCGTGCCACCATGCCTGACATTTTATATGGGAGCTGAGGATCCAAACTCAGGTCTTCATGTTTGCTCAGCAAACAGTGTATCCACTGAGGCACTTCCCCTGTCCCTTTCCCAGTGTTCTTGTCCATGTGGAAGGGGACTAAAAAGGGCCCATTTGTCTTGTCTGCCCCGCCCCACCCCCATTTACCCCTGCCACTCACCCCCGAGTATTCTGCCACGTCTCTATAAATATCCGTATCTGGCACTTGCCCCAGGACTGAGTAATGGGGCCTGAGGAGAGAGTTAGGGGAAAAAAAAAAAAAAAAAAACACAGGCAAAGAAAAGACCATGAGAGGACAGTGAGGGGACCTGGGGTGTCCCCAGAGGGGTAAGGAAAGCTGCGGATGTGAAGAACCAGCGTGACACTTACTCCCTCACCAAGCTGGAATTGGGGGGGTACCAAAAATGGTTGACTCACAGCTGCATTCGGACCACCACGAGCAGCAGGGAGAACACTATGGAGACTGCCAGGCCGATGTCCAGGTTCAGTAGGATCGTGGCCACAAAGGTCACCAGCCAGATTAGCTGATAAGAAAAGGGCAGGGGGTCAAAGGACCCACGGGCACCAAAGGGCCCAAACCCAGGCCTGGGCTTCCAAGCTTCTCACCAGGTCCACTCGGTTTGTCTTCCAGAGAGAGCAGATGTCAGAGAACTGCTTCATCATGCCCTTTAGGTTCACAATGATAACAGCTGCCAGGACGGCCTGGGGCAGGAGGAATGTCATCAGGATGGCTGAGAGCTTCCTAGAGGCCACCGGGCGGCACCACCTAGGCATGAGCCATCCAGAATGGCCCAGCCTACAACCAGCTACCACCACACCAACCTTATCCCTTTGGAGCTGATTAGAAAGTTCTAACCTTTGACCTCTAGTTCCCGATTTTATCCCCAAGAGCTTAACCTTCTATCTCTGAGCCCCTTACACGGGACTAGACTGACTAATCTCGGCCTGGCCTAGCTAAGGCCATGAAGCCCGGCTGCCAGGGGTGGAGGCTCACCTTGGGCAGGTCTCGGAAGAGTTCTCCAAGTTTGACGATAATGAGAAGGATAAAAAGGGAAGACACGGCTCCAGCAACCTGCAGGGTGGGGATAAGCAGAGGGTGAAGGCGAGCCTGGAGTGGGACCATCCTGACAGAACAGCATGTCCAAATGGACATACACCCACACGCGCATGCTCACACTCGAGGCCTACCTGTGTGTTACCTCCCGTGCTCTCCTGTACCAAGCTCCGAGACATGGAGCAGCTCACGGGGAAGCACTGGAAGAAGCCTCCAATGAGGTTACTGAGGCCAAGGGCTACCAGCTCCTGTGGGGGGAGTTGTGTGAGAAGACTTGCTAGGGAAGCCTCGGCTGACACACTCCTAACCCCCATCCCCAGTCAATGGCTTCCAATATTTGCCCCAACATCCTGTTCTTACACTTACAAGTCCAGCCTTACCCTTAGTCTCCCTCACTCCTATCTTCCAAGCCCACGTACATCTGCACGTACAAGACCGGAAGCACAGACCTGGTTACTGTCCACACGGTAGCCATGCCTCAGGGCAAAGATCTTTCCGAGTGAGATGGCGATGGCGAAGCCCACCACAGCGATGGCAAAGGCATTTCCCACGAGCGTTGCGAACAGCTCCGTCTTGGGTGCCACTGGGGGTATCAGCCTGAGAAGAAGACCTGGAAGTTCAGAGGATGGTCCTGGCTCTAGTCACCCTACCTCCCTGATGGGCCCAGAGCTCACCCTGTGGTGATGTTGCCCACCACGTCGACCCTGAACCTGCCATTCAGTTTCACACCATAGGAAATAGCAGTGGCACCAATGAGCTGTGGGGACAGGGCAGAGTTAGGGGAGCACAAGGGAGGAGGGTGAACCATCTGGGGGCAGTCAGGGCACAGAATCTTTTTCTGAGGAATGGGAAGATGTAAACAGGGTGAGAGAGAAACATTACCATTTAAGGAAGGGGAGGTACGGTCAAGTGTGATAAAAAGCCAATCGAGGGCTTTCTCCTGCAGATTCCCCCAACACCCCTGCAGTGGCCCTCAGATACCCTGAGGTGGTATACTGGCCAGGTCTACCCTCACTTGCCCTTTCCCATGTCCACCATCCCCTGGCATCCGAACCGTGAGTAGTTCCCCAGGGATGGGCAGGGGCAGACGGCCATGCAACTTCTCATTCAGCAGTTTCACCAGCACCAACACCACCCCTGCCACGATCGCTGTGACCACGGTGCCGGGCACAGTCTCAGGCAGCTTGGCACAGACCTCCAGCACTGTCTGAGGAAAAGTGGTACTGTTATAGCCGGAGTTCAAGGTCACGGGGCACAGCATGCCTACCCCACCCTTGCCCCCACCCTCACTCACATAGATAACGGACAGTGGCCCAGAGTGACTGTTGAGAGTGATGCCAAACACATACTTGAGCTGAGAGACGAGGACTTGCACAGACGCAGCCGTGGTATAGCTGCGGACCAAAGGCTCTGACAGGTAGGTGACCACGAAGCCGAAATGAACCAGGCCCAGCCCCACCTGTTGGGTGGTCAGGGAAAGTCAGGCAGAAATCACAGGCACAGCCAAGGGCGGGTGGGATCAGAGGGGGTAATAGTGTAAGTCAGACACTAAGGGGATGGCTACTTCGTACCTGGAAGAGGCCAACCAGGAAGCTGAGTGTGTAGGCCACCTGCACACGGGCATCATCAAGTGTGGCATTCAAACTTTGCTGGAAGGACTCATCTGCTGTCAGAGATTCTGTCACACCGCCCACCATCACAGACATTACAGCAAAGGTTCCTTCAGGGGTAGGACAGGGAAGGTCTGGATCATGGGCAGGCTGGACAGGAGTCTAAGAACTTTCAAGCTCCATGAATTATGTCATTCACCTTGAAGCCAGGGCTTTGAGATATCCTGAACCTAAGAGTCCCTACAGTTTCCTAGTACTGCTTAGTGCGATTCATAGGCTATCCTCTTAACGATCTAGCAACCTACATTCCTATGCTACCGTTTTCCCCAGGCTGCCCTGCTCTGCCCCACCTGCCCCTCCCTCTATATGAAAGGGTCACCTGACTCTACTTACCCACAGAGATGTGTCTAGAGGTACCAAACAGGAAGTAGACGAAAACCGGGTAGAAAGAACTGTACAGGCCAAACATAGGAGGCAATCCCGCCAGAAGAGCATATGCCAAGCCTGGAGGTAAAACGGTGGCAATGCAGACTTGGAGAACAGGGTCTCAAAAAGGTAGGGGAACCCAAGCCCTCAGCTCAGGGGACATAGCTCCAAGAGCAGAGGCCATGGTTCCTGGTTTGGTATTTCATAGACCAGAGCTTTCAAGCCAGGCCGTTGGAGGAGGTAGCTCACCCTGAGGAAGCTGCATGATAGCCACACTCAGGCCAGATAACAGATCACCCAGGAGCCATTCACGCACAGGATACCGGGGTAACCAGCCCAAGACTGGAACATGCTGGAGCAGAAGAGAATAGGCCCGAGCACGGGAGCATCTAGGACCGAGAAGAGTCTGTTACAGGGAGGGCTGTCTGGGTCCTGGCAGAACCCCCAGAACCTCTACCCTCATCATTACCGAAACCAAGTTCGCCACTGGTAGGTCTTCGACGCTGGGCCCCAGTGCCCCAGATCCTCTAGCTGCTCCTGGTTCAGCAACGGCCTTTCCACATGGTAGTCTCTCCTCTGCAGCTCCATTTCTTGGGCTGCAGACAGGAGTGCCTCCGTCTGCTGTGTCCCGTGGTCTAGAGAGGTGAGACCACAAACATACAATAGATTCCTCCGGTCTGACCTTTTCTACACTGGGACCACAGAGCCACATACCTGAGTTTTCTGGGCTCAAAGATCAAGGGTAGATCCAACTTTGCTGGTCTCTGAGGGCCCCGTGCTCACACCCTGACAGAGGCAGTATCTGAACTTTGGCTACTGGAAGACTCTTTCTGGGCCAAAGTCTCTCCGGAAGGGAGCGAGGGATGAGCATGACCTACACATTCAGCTCAGGTGTGGTTGCCCAGCCCCAAGTACCACTTCAAGTCCAAGTCCAGGTCTGGGTCCAGGTCCAGACTGACTGCACCTCCTAACCTCTACCTCTCAGGCCCTTGGCTTCCTTTCCCTTAGTCAATTCCTGTCCAGTCCCTTTCCCAGCTTTTCTACCAGGAGCCCAACCTTGCTGGCTGAGAGCAAGTTTATAGATAAGACCTAGCAAACCAGAGATCTGTAAGCAATACTGCCCTTCAGCTTCAGGACAAGACCCACCAGGACTCTAGGGTCCAAGCTGTCACCTCCAGAGATAGGCTCCCACTCGAAACTTCACCTGAGAACAGGAGCTTTTAGAAGCCAATCCAACCTAGAGGGAACTCTGCCCTGAAAGCCTTAGCCAGCCAGGCAAGTTCTGACCTGGGGTAGGGAAATCTCTCACCAACAGGAGGCACTTCTCTCCAAAGTGAGAGAAAGACTTTACCAGAGAATAGGATCTGGAGAGTTCTCTCAGAAGAAACTGATCTGGGGGGGGGGGGGCCCCCCCGCCATATGGAATGCAGCTCTCTTCTATGAATATATTTCAGGGAGTGCAAATTTGGAGGGAGGGGCTAGCCTTCTGGGAAAGACTTCACTTGTGAGTTCTGATCTAGGAGAGGCTGTAACCAGGGGAGAGAATCCCACCAGAGGGGTAGGAACTCACCTGGGAAGACCCTCTAACCTGGGTGTCCAATCGGAGGAGGGAGCAGTGCAGACGCAAGGAGGATCTTCAGAGATTCTCTGCACCGCCGCCGACTCCAGGAGATCTCAGAGGCCCCTCTCCCCTCCTTCAAGATCTCTCAAGTCTTCTTAAAGGGCTCCCTCCCTTTACCAGGCAGCACGCGCCTGAGGGGCGGAGCCTTGATGCTTGGCACCTCCCTTTGGGAGGGCGCAAAGGCCGGCAGTGACAAGAGTGAACATTACCCCGCCGACTCAGGCCGCTGCTGGTCCACCGCCTGGCTAGAGCCTGTCTTGCAGCCGTTTCTCTCCCAGTCCCAACGCGCCCAGCTGGCACACCTCCCGTGCCTGGGCTCCTTGGCAGGCAGCAACTTCCCTGCAGCGCCTTTATTAGCACTCCAGGGACGTTCAGTACAACCCTCAAGAGCAGGGGTCGCGCGGGATCCCGCCCCCATCCCTCGCTGCTGACGGATAACCTTCTGCGGAAAATCGGCAAGGCAGTAAACTAAGGCTCCGCAGGCGGAAAATGCCTGCCGGGGATTTGGCGGCTCCTTCCTGAATTGAGCCAGGCCGGGAGTCACAGAACTACTAGCGCTTCGCGGACACGCGGAATTTGGGCTGCGCCCTGCAACTCACCGGACCCATCGGGCAGTCCCATGGCCCTCAGAGGGTAGCTCGTGTGCTGCTTTTCAGACAGCTCCCCCAGGAGGTCACTACCGGCTAGAAGGTGGCGCCAGGCCGAGAACGAGGCCGGCTTCCAGCTCCACCGCTAGGACGTGCATGCTCAGACGAATCAGAATTCTGGGGGTGGAACCTAACTCGTACTCTCCGGGCGGGGCGTGCCCGGAGAATAAAAATTTAACCCTTTCCTTCCCGTCGGCCTAACTTCTGCCCCTGCCTGCAATTGCAGCTTGTTAATCTTCTGCTGGGAGCTGGAGCATTCTGCTGGGACTGGAACGAAGGACCAGTGCTACGCCTGGCCAATGTTATGCCTCTGTGCCCCTAAATGGTTGGACCTAATTGTATGCTTTGTAGAAGGTCCCCACTTTATGCAGAGGAAAAATTCTTGAATGATCTGGATGTCTAGGTGTGTGACCAGGGGCCCCAGCCTCAACTGAGGAAGATCTCGGTCTGTAGGGTCTCTCAGGGACCACCAAGCTGTGGGTATCACCCTCAGATTTTCCCTCTGAGACCTGGCACAGTGGTCCTCAAGGCCAACTCCACCCCACCTTCATTTTTTTTTTTTTCCAGACAAGTTTTCTCTGTTTAGCCTTGGCTGTCCTGGAACTCTGTGTAGACCAGGCTAGTCTACAGAGATCCACCTGCCTCTGCCTAGTGAATGCTGGAGTTAAAGAAGAGATCATAGGCCAGGCAGTCGTGGCGCAGGTCTTTAATCCCAGCACTTGGGAGGCAGAGGCAGGCGGATTTCTGAGTTCGAAGCCAGCCTGGTCTACAGAGTTCAGGACAGCCAGGGCCACACAGAGAAACTCTGTCTCAAAAACCAAAAAAAAAAAAAAAGAGATCAAAGATGTTTGCCACCACTAGTGGCTTCTCAAGGCCTCCCTTTCATTTCTGGCTGCCTAGACTGGAAACTGAGCATTCAGGATCCCTTTCTGCTCCGGAAGCTCAACCCAGTTATCTCAGAAAGGCCCGATGGGTGCAGTCACGCTTCTGGCCAGATCCAAGTGAGAAAAGGCCAGTAAGGGTCAGAGTGTGGGCGGTAAGGCAGGAACTGCTGTGGCAACTCTTAGGTTTAGTTTGACAAATGGGCAGGACCACAAATGTCAGGCTCTGAATGTTAAGGAAACCCTCATGTTACTACCTAAAGTGGCTTCTCTTGGCCAGCTCCTGGGCTCCAGCTTCAGGCTCCAATCACAAGGTGATAGGCCATATTTCAGAAAGAAATGGGAACCTGGTCCAAATCTCCCATGAAATGGTCTAAAAATAACTGGGTAGTTTGAAGGGAGGAGAGCTCAGATTCCTACAAAGGTCATTCTGGGTGAGTCAGTCACAACAGTCATCACACATCTGAAATAAAAAGAGGAACAAGTGTTTTCTATAGAAGTTTATTCCCAAAACAGAGCGCGGCTTCACGGAACAATTTACACAGACAGGAAAGAGGGCCACTGTGGGAAGGGGACCCCAGAGACGGGCATCTATAGAACCTAGGACATAGCAAGGACGCTCCCCCACCGACAGGCCTCTCAGCTCTTCAAGGGTAGGGGTCGCTCTGGGTAAAGAGAGCTAGGGACCTGGCTGGTGGGATTTGGCACAGGCAGTGAAGTGGAATTTTTGAATCTCAGAAACTGCCTCCCAAGAGTATGCACAGGGTAGGGGCGGGTGGCATTTGCACAGAACCCCTGTCCTGAGCCACCTTTGGGGCAAGCTGTTAGAAGACTCAGCTGACCTTTGACCTGGAAAAAGCTGGGATTAGAAGCCTTCCTCAAGATGGCCAGGTCCAGGGGCATCACAGGTGGGTCTTTTAGGCCCCTCCCCCACTTTTTCTACCTTTCACTTGTAAACAAAGAGGGGGGAATGTAAACAAAGTGTATAAGTTCAATGTTTTAAGCTGTAAACAATAAATAAAACCCAACCATGTTAAAAAAATAACCTCGACCTGTAAACAAAGTAACAAAAATCTAAAGTCCCCAGAACTGGACATCAGACAAATAACAAAAGAGAGTTTTGTGAACAGGATCCTGACCGCTACTTTTCCCTTTATAAGGGACTAACAGAAGGCGGGGCAGCCACTGCTGCAGCCTGGTGCCAGGCAGGATCCTGTAAACAGTGGGAGGCTGTGGCACCTACATTCTGGGTCTTGGGTTCCCTTGTTTCTTCTCCCTTTGTTCACTGCCCCCCCCCATCCCTCAAGGGGACAGTGTAATGAACCAATGGCACCACAGACAAGTGAAGGAGGGACAAAGGAGTGTCCCCTCCACCCACCCCCTGTAGGAATGTCTGATTAGAGGCCCAAGTCCCTCCCTAAGGGAGAAAGGGAAGCCTTGATCTGTAAACATGACTTCTGCTGCTCCACCAGCACCGGCAGCGTCCGTCCTAGGTCTTAAGGCAGTAAGTGGCAGGGACTCCATGTAATACGTACCCACACTCACAGGGAGGAGTGGAGCAGGTGAGCCCTCAGGAGGAGGATGGAGGACCCCTGTTTCCAAGACCAACCCCCAAACAGGAGTTTGGCCTATGGGGCATGGGAGAAAATGCAAAGATGAAGTTTGCATCCTGGGCCCCAACAACGTTCAATGTGGGGAAGAGGAGGGGAAAGAGTGTATGAGCCTGACTCATTCACTCACTGTAAGATGAAAGAAAAGAGCAGGTGCTTTGCTAAGGACCCAAAGAAGGCCAAACTGCATTTCTCTCCCATCCCTTTTCTCCTTCTAGCCCAGTCTCAAGACCCCTGGGAGACAGAAAAGCTGAAAAATAACATAAGCATATCTCTCTGGTTACAAAGGTACAAAACGTATAAAAGTCCTCCTTCAGCTCCCACCCCCTGCACCTGTCACACGCATGCTCACAGATGTGCACAGGAGGGACCTCGATACTGCACTCAACTGAACTGAGGGGAGGGCTTGAAGAAGGCGGCCTTGGGATCAGTCCTGAAGTCTCTTCCAGCAGCCCAGATCCTCTGCTGCCCCTGGTGGCTCCTCACTTGCTGGGCAGCCCCTCAGGAGTGACCCTCGCTTCTGGGAATTCTGTGGAGTTGAATGTAGAAATGGAAAGTCATGGCTAAGAGGAGGAGGCTTCTCTCAGCCCGCAGCCCCTTCATGCCCATGCCAGGGTTCTGAGCCCCTACACACCCATCTGGACCCTAACTCATTAGCAAGGCTACTTGGCTGCCTCGGTCTCTCAGTGCTTAGCAGGGCACCTTCTACGTTCGGATACTAAACTCAGCATCCATAAGATAGGTAATGTCACAATCTCCACATCTCAGGGAGTTCGTTTCTCTAAACTCCCTCAACAGATGAAGAGACTACTGTAGCAGTTTGTACTGTGCCAAGGTCATAGCAGAGGAGAGATGGAACTCAGACACAAACTCTGGTGATTCTAAAGCCTGAATCCTCACTCAGACCTCAAGGCTAGACTGCAGGGGACTCTCTCATCCTTACCTTTCAGCAGTCCTCACTAACTCTAGGCTCCCAAGCCCCTGCCCCCACCCTCCTTTATGGCATCTCTCAACACTGGGCTTTGCCTCAGTCCTGCCAGTCAGAGACCCATTTTCCCCATATCCTCACAGTTATTTCTCATCCTGAAGATAGTCCAGAGAGTGAGAGAAAGAGAGAGAGAGAGAGAGAGAGAGAGAGAGATTGATTGATTTCCTATTGGCTAATAAGACCTGGCAACGCCCTAGCTGGACCCTTCTTATTCTGAGTCCCACAACTCTTCCCTCCCCTCCCCCACTTTCTTTCTCAGATTCCTGTGTATCCAGCTGGGTGTCTCTGACATCTTCAACCCCACAGATGTCGTACGCAAACCCAAGATGTACTGTGCTTAACCCCATAACGCTCACAGGTGGGCGGGCACAGTCTCATGCTGATGGAACACAGCAATGAGTGAAGGATTTATTCTCAAAAGTTAGCACTCAGTATGGCATAATACACAGCTATTCCACATGAAGGAATAGGAAGGGCCTTCCTGAACAAAGATTCCTCACATTGCCTCATGCAAATGCCTGATTATTCTGTACTTCCTTGCCCTGACTCCTGCCTGTGGAGGTCCTGTTCTGGGACGTGTAGTACTGGGAGGCTGGCTCTAACCATATAGCCAGAAAGTTCCAGCTAGTCTTATTCCCATTTTCTGGTTTGTTTTTTTGGGGTTTTTTTTTGGGGGGGCTTTTTTTTTGTTTGTTTTTGTTTTTTCGAGACAGGGTTTCTCTGTGTAGCCTTGGCTGTCCTGGAACTCACTCTGTAGACCAGGCTGGCCTCGAACTCAGAAATCCGCCTGCCTCTGCCTCCCAAGTGCTGGGATTAAAGGCGTGTGCCACCACTGCCCGGCCTATTCCCATTTTCTAATGGAGTTGTCCCTGATATGTGACTTCCTGGCTTGCTGTGATGGTTTGTATATGGTTGGCCCATGGAGTGGCATCATTAGGAGGTATAGCCCTGTTGGAGAAAGTGTATACCACTATGCCTGAATCTGAGACTTGTTTTGTCCCAGGCTGACCTTGAACTCAGAGATCTCCTTGACTTAGTCTTCTGGGATTAAAGGCATGTGCTACCTTGCCTGGGCCTAAACTTTTCATAATCACTAAGCCTCAAGATCTTCACGCCAAGATCCAGGTCAGAAACTTGTGTCTCTCAGCCTCAAGATCCAGATCACAGGTGAGCCCTCCAATTCTGGATTGTAGTTCATTCCAGGTATAGTCAAGTTGTCAAGCAGGAATAGCTATTACACTTGCTGAGCCTGAGATAGCCCTAATCTATGGGCCAACTCTCACTGCTGAGCCTGGGGTATCCCTTATCTGTGAACCACCTCTCACGCACTTTAGTGGAACCCAGGGATGGGTTCATGAAGGAGCTGCCCTAGATTGACAAGCGTGTGAACAGGGGTCTGGGCTCTGCTTACTCTGAATCAGGTGACAACTCCGAGATGCTGTGAGATGTGGCTGAGCGCGGTGTGGAAGGCCCAAGTGCAGAGGCTGTGGCAGAAGGCGTGGCCGTGGTGTGAGGGCCCGAGGGTGTGCTTGAGGACTGCACAGAGGAGAGGGCTGAGGAGTTGAAAGAGGCAAGGATAGAGGAGAGAATGTCCAGTTGCTCTGTGGAGGGACCATG